TGTTACGTGGGAGAAGAGACCGACCTCCACCTCGCTACAACCTCCTTTCAGGTAGTTGTAGAGAGAGATAAGGTCTCCCCTCAGCCTCCTCTTCTCCACACTAAACAACCTCAGCTCCCTCAGCTGCTCCTCATATGACTTCTTCTCTAGATCCTTCACCAGCTTCACTGCCCTTCTTTGGACATGCTCCAGCACCTCAATGGCCTTCCTGTAGTGAGGGGCCCAAAACTGAACACAGTATTCGAGGTGCGGCCTCATCAGTGCCAAGTACAGGGGGACAATCACTTCCCTGGTCCTGCTGGCCACACTATTTCTGACACAAGCCAGGATGCTATTGGCCTTCTTGGCCACCTGGGCACACCGCCAGCTCAAACTCTAGAGCCACAAATGCCTAGAACTTCCTTACAAAGGTGCCAAAGAAACACCCACAACTATTTCAAACTGGGACTGACCAAATCATATTAGTGCTCAGTATGGTATTTCCTGTGCTACCTGACCCAGGAGTCAAACCCTTGACCACCACATATAAAGGATCTGTGCCTCATTTAGCATTGTGAATTCCACTCCTCAAGCTGTCTGACTTTCTGGAGCTCTGACATGGGGTTTCACCATTCCTAAGTTCCTTTGCTAAATGCCTGTCACTAGGAATTGAAAAAATCCTAATTTTTTCCTAAGTGTATCACACTGTGATGCATTTATTTGTACGATACCATCAATCCAGAAAGTGGGTGAAACCTAACCAATTCAAGTCAAGTAGGAATAAACCAATGGAATAAAAAATATATCACAGCATGTGTAAAACAAAGAGATAATTTACGTGAAGAGATAATTTATATTGAAGGGGCCTTCACCATTATATTCAGGCTTCAACTATAAAGAACTAGGAACAGGAGAAAAACATGACATTGACTTATCTGAAATTCACACATCCATACGCTTTTTCTTTGCTCTTTCCTGTCTTGCTTTTATCAGTCCTGGAGCCCTGTGGCTGACAATTTCAAGTGAAATTTGGAGATACAATGAACATGAATACCTCCAGATATTCCTCTACATACAAGGTCTTTCATTTAGATGGGAAAGAAAAAAACCCCTCCTTCTTTTAAAGCATGGATAAAACTAAATCAGATTTTTCATGTGGAAGGAATTTAAAGACATCAGCTCAGCGCTTGTCAAATTCATTTCATATCACTTGACTTTATCCCCTTTCAAACAAAGCTATAAACCAGCATAGCTATGGACAAGATTTGTAAATAGTGTTTGCAGACAGACATTTTCTCTCTGCTTATGAACCCGTTACAAGAATTAAGCAAAACATTGGACTGGAATGTACAGTGTCTATGATTAAGAAAAGTGTTTTTAACACTCCTCTTGCAACACAATCTTTTTATTGGGCTTGTACAGAAACACCGGCCTTGGGGGCAGATCCAGTGTACCACAGAACAACTTCAGTAGGCTCTGCTTAGTTTCTTGCATCAATGGATTTTATCATAGTATGTTAGATGTTCAAACTCGTGCTAGTACACCTTAATACACATTTCTTTCTGTAAAGGTCCTGTTCTGAATTTAACTGACTTAACCAGAATATATTTTAAGGAAGCACACAGGAAGAATTCCTGTAAGTCTTGTTAAGAACATAGCAGGCTTAATAAGACATTATATTAACGTTATGTTAACTTCTGTAATACTCATGCCTAACTTCTGAAATACTAATTTGAAAATGTCCTTCTTCACTTGGCGCCTGAGTGGTAAGAAGGATTAGCTTGGCCAGTAACAGGAAGAAATTCATTAGTCCTCCTAGAGTCAAGAAATTTCCTTTTTTCTTTCTTTGCTTGTGTACTTTGTAAAGAAAACAGGGGCTCTGGGAGATTAGGAGCAGATCTGTAAAGTGTAATAGTCGTGAGGATAGTACATTCATACTACATACCATGCAAGGGGTTATTCTGGATTAAGTGTAATTTGGTGCCATGACATACCCATTAGTGGTTACAGCACATTAAATGCATTCACAGAGAGCATCTTCTGTACTGTTTTATCCTAAAAGAATTCAGCTGGCATGCTCCAGGATTGCTCTGCCACATGAACCAAAGTGTGGTAAGTGGGCATGACCAGAACATTCACTTCAAAAACCCACTCATGATACGAACTGAAATTTAACCGTGGACCCCCACAAAAAGAAACAGAGAAGAGTGGTGGACTTTCTTAGGAACCAAAGAAATTTCCTGATTAAGGACAGAAATATCCTGACGTACAGTCTTGGTGCATGGCATCAAAGGTGGCTACCTGTAAGTTTTTCTATGAGTAAGGTATTGCTGGCTTCTCTATATAATTAGGAACTGATGGGTAAGTCAGTCCTTTTCCCAGATTGTCTAAGAAGCAGCTGCCAATAGTGTTAGCTTAACATTCTGCCAGAGTTATGAACCTAAGACATAAAGGGAGAGAAGAAGGAACCTTCTGCAGCAGAACATCAGGTTGATTGTCTGGAAGCTATGAATGGACAACTCATTGGGCTAATAGCAATATGTAATACAAGTTAATTCATTATATAAAACTGAACAAACACCTAGATACTGACTCAGGGAAGAAACTGGGAAGAAATTCTGTTACTAACTGGCAGTGCACACTGTGATATGCACATCATGATTAGCATCTCTACAGCTAACTGTCCTGCCTTCCAGTGAACAAACTTATAAAGTAAGCTGTCAATCACAGTTAAAATTCTCAAGTCCAAAAACATTTAAAATGTATCATGCAGAAATAATCTTGTGATGAGAGAATGCATAACAAAGAGAGGCAATAACATGGAGACAAAGAATAACAGAAAAACTCAAGATCTGGGAAAGCTGGCCTACTGCCCATTTAGAATGAGTCTTCTGATACCAGTTTCAAAATGGAGACAGTCAGTTTTACAATACTATTCAGAAGTGAAGTCATAGCAACAATGCTGACACCAGGTTAAGTCATTGATGATTCATAACTGCCCTCCACTAGACAGTGTGGCTTGCAAATAAAAAGTAACGAGAATTACTGCTTAACAATATCTGAATTGTTTCTAATAACACCATGGCCTAGTTAAATGACATTTTTCCTCTTGCAGTATCAGTGTCCTTTTCATGGACTTTAGGCAGTTGAAACAGAAGTTTTAGAGTCAAGTAAACTGAAGAAGTTAATGGAAATACTATGGATGCTTGATGTGAAAAGAGAAATTAAGTACGTATAATGATGTCTGAGAAGGAATTACATTTCCTCCTTTAGAAAAAGTTAGAATGCCCATTCTCCTTTGAGAATAACTGAAGTGCATATGCTGATGAAATGTTCAAAGCATATAAGTATTTTTTGATGTTTTGAAGACTCACCTGAGATGCTTGATATGAGAGAGAAAGTCTGTGTTGTACAGGAGGATTTCCATCTGCAGCCATTTCAATCATACAGTAACCTTCAGGACTGCTCACAGGCAACATATAGCTGGAAGGAAACAGAAGATCTCATTACTGTTTGTGCTGTTGACAGCAGAGTATTCAAACCTCACACAGCAAAGGCAAGGTGAAAAAGATGCTTCTGTGTCCATAAAGGATGACAATCTTTTGACACTAATAATTCCAGTTTCATGGCTACCTGGACTACCCAAGAGACAAAAGATCCAAGTTTCTTCTACTAATGTCCTCTTCTATTTGCTTTCCTACTGTTCTTGACTCCAGTGTTTGAAATGTACACAGAGACAAAGAAGAAAGAGAACTTTACATGCTTAAGTGAGTATTGATAAATTGTAAGTGCTAACTGTGGCTGACATATGGTCTCCCTAGTACAGAGGATTGTTGGACAAGTAACATCAATGTTGAATGATGCTGAACTCCCCAGGTGGAAATTTCCTTTTCCTGCCCTACAGGGGAAACAGAAATAGAATAAGAAATGAAAGGCTGCATACCTCTGAGCAGAAAAATTACACTGTGATATAGTTATCGCTACTTGGGAAGTGTGCTGTTAATGTAAACTCTGTTACTGAGCTTCAGATATAAAGAAGAATATAAGGTTAAGGGAATTTCTAAAGTAAATACTAGTGAACATTCAATAAAACACTGAGAATTCTTCAGGTTCTTTCTATGATGAGATCTGATGAAATGATATTAGTATTATCAGCAATAAAAATTCAATCCAACAAGATGATTTTCAAATATACTGTTTTTGTATTTAGAAAGGAAATTTGCATAAACTTTATTGCAGCAATGGCAGAATAGGAGAATAGTGGTCGATAGATTCTTTAAAACTGAGCTCTGCCATTTTTGTAGAAGTGCTTCCCCATTCCACTTTGCCTTAGTTACAATTTTCACATGCTTTAAAAGAGAATGTGATGGGCCTCCTTTTGGGAAGCATGTTAAGGTTTACTGACTACATGCACTCTGCACATGAAACTGCTCAGTCAAATCCATATAATTAGGTTTCCAGAGTAAGGCTTTTAACAAGAATAACGTTACATTTTTGTGCAATATTTCACAAAAGTTACACAATAGCTTTTACAAAAGATTCTGAAAAAAAGTTATACATTTATATGGACTGCTAAATTTTCTATTTTTTTAGACAAACAAATGCTAAAGGACAATGACAGGAATCTCATAAACTATTTTGTGTTGGGATAGATGAATTTTTATGTTAGGCCATAGACATATGAAAGACTTAACATATTTTAAAGCCCATTATGTCCTGAACACTAGAAGTATATATTACTAATCTTAGAAATTACCTCAGCACTGCCGAGGACAAATTTACTCCTGGATGAAACACATCAAGACCTACCATGCTCTCAAATGCCTACCTTTTCATACACCATCACCTGGTTGATTGTGTGCAGCTGCCATGGTATGATTTATTCCATGTTATGCCTTGAGCTTTCCTTTTGTATTCCTGTGTCAACAATCTTACTATTTTATCCTCCTGTCTGTAGATCCAGTATAAAATTTAGAGTCTCAGTTTTCAGCTCTGAAGTTACCGGGAACATTGTGTTGACATAAATGGATATAGTATTAGGCCCCTAATGAATATTTATAACATTCACTGCAGTGCAGTGATTTCTGAGTGAGCAGTAAAAAAACAGTGCATCTACTAACACAAGTCTCATAGGCAGTATATCTATATCAGCAGGTGATGCACCTATATTAATAAACCCTACCTTTCCAATGGTCATATTACTTCTGGTTCCAGAGCTAATTCAATCAATACTAACTCATTGACTTTTCACTGTGCTCTGCTGCATGGGGTTGAAATGTGCTAAATTATTTCACCTTTGTAAGTATGTAACACTTTTCTTATTTTTGAACCAGGAACAGCAATGTTTTAAAATTTTTTTAAAAGACAGATATTGGAATGGCATCTTCTGTTATCACCTTTTGAAATGGGATCTAGACCCCTAGACTATTCAAATGAGTTTGAAAAATGTTCATTGTTCTTTCTTATTTTAGGTTAAAAAAATTATGTAGTTTTTAAGTATATTTTAAGTTAAGTTCCTTCTTATGTAGTCTAAAGTTAGCATAACATTTTGATTTTGAATGCAAGGAGCCAGAAGCAACGTCTGCTGTTCTGAAGATCAGCTAATTTTCACAATTTCATTATAAAATGTGAACTGAATAAACAGAAGTTCCTCCTTAATAAATAATGGGTATATTGACAGATGTCCTTTTTAGATACTTGGAATAAGGACAATTTTGGAGAAAGTACTTCCATCGACTGTGATTTCCAACCAATTCTTGATATGTAAAATATACTTTGAATTTTATTTATTATTCCTACTCACATTTCATCTGCTTGGAATTGTCCAGGTAAACCACAGTGTATGAAGGTAACTTTCTCAGGTAAAAGAACATCAGCTCATTTAGGATTCTCTTGGGGAAAACCAACTCATAAGCTGTCCTTGGTGCTTCCTACTCTGAGTGGATATTGTAGTATAGACCTGACATACTCATGGCAAAGCCTACCCTCTGCCCCACCTTGCTTCTGCTTTTCAGGAAGGCTTCTGAAGTCCACATCTGCTGCAGTTTCTAAATCAATTTAAGGTTTAACCCCTTATGGCACACATTATAATAGTCTAGCCCACAAAGAACAAAAGTTTAAGTGACGTGGCAAAGTTAATAAAGAAGAATGTTCATCTAATCGAAAAGAAAAGAACAATACGGTCTATGTCAGTTTGATCATCTTCAAGCAATTAGCCATCCAAGCCAAATTCAGCATTGTAAACTTTCATTGCAAATGTCTGGTATTCATACATTCTCACTGTTTTGTATACATAATTTCTCTTGTTTTGATTCTTTGCTGGGGGAAAAAAAGTGGAAAATTAAAAATGGGTGCAATTAAAATAAGCTTTAGAGATTATTTGATGCTGACATGGTCTTTACTGTGGTATCTTTATGTATACAAGCCCAAGTATCCTAAATTCATATAGATTATAGCACAGTCATCCCTATGCAGGCATACGTGGTGCTGCCTTCTACCTTTAAAGAAATGTGTCAGAAAAAAGAAAAAATAAATTCCAAGGAAAAAAAACAGTATCTATAAACAACAGCTATTATACAGTGATTTTGATCATTAGGTCTCAACTTCATAAAGGACATAACACTATTTTTTTTTTTTTAAGATTCAGCAATGAAATCTCAAAGAAAAGAACTGATTTGTTTGATGTCAGTCACTAAATTAGTGTCTGAGTTGCAAGAAAAAAACCACAGGCTATAAGCAGCAACCTATTGCCCTGTATTCTGGAGAGCACATTAGGAATGTTACCACTACTTTCTTCAGTATTTGCTCCTTTCTCTGCAAGGATTTCCAAGCAAATAATACTTGAAATTTCTCTCTGTCTTATGTCATAGAAAGGAAAAACTGTCATTTGAAATGTGAACAAAATGAATATTTTTCATGCTTACATTACCACAAAATTAGGACTGTTTGAATTTGCTAGATTACTCAAATACGCTTAGAATAGCTTTTAGAAAAGTGACAGAGCATGGAAAATTAGAGCCCAAAAGACAGTTTTCTGAGAAAATTATGAAAATAATGAAAAATGGCAATTAAAACAGAAATGCTGTCTCTATCTTCACTATAGCATTTAAAACCACAAAGTGCTACAATATGGACATATGCAAGACATAAATGTACTTGTTTTTAAAAACGATGACGGAAAAAAGAACGCGCTTGAAATATTCTGCAGCAGAAATGACCTGAACTAAAATACCACTTCATGTAGCTTTATAACTTGATAATATATTTCTTATAATCCAAGATTAAATCTGTCTTAATCTTGCAACTGGATAAATGCAGTTGCATTCTTGCACACATCTCACAGAAGATTGAAATCCATTATCCACATTAGAAAAGATAAAATGGAACTGATGATTTATTCTCTTGACATTTTTTCTTTATTTTTCTAATTAACCTCATATTATGAGATACTGACCTCACATTAAGAACACCTGAGATGAAAGCAGCTAATCACTGACATCTTTAAATTTTGAAGTATTTTTAGTTCAGTTGTGCTTTTTCACTCGTTTAGATGCTGAAGGCATTTCAGTCCATCTGCCTCACATCTCAGTGGCATATTTCAGTTGCACTCAAAGCCAGCGTATTTTTCCCTCCAGAGACAGTGACAGGAGAGAATGCAGTATGATTCCTATTGCAGGATTATTTTGTCAGGCACCAAAACTGTGATTCATGCACATCACACTCATAATGATATAAAAAGGATTCACAGAGCAGTAGAGAATTGGGTGTATGGGGAGTAGGTATGGGAAACGGGTGTGTGGGGAGGACGTATGGGAATGTTATGCACAATAATCCAAATAGGTCTGGAGCCATGCGGAGCCCAACCTGGTCCTGTAGATGCTAAGGTACAGGCCTGATGTAGTTGAATATTTGTTTCCACAGATTTGAAAAAAGAAGAGGTTCAGCCTTCTTTTCTGTGCTTGGCTTAGAATAACATGATTTTTTCATAGCTTCTGTGGATTTTACATAAGCTCGTTAAGAACAAGAATTAACAAAGGATGTACTACAGGGGCTGTTTCTTTACAGAAGTCTCATGGACCTCAACAGATGCAAAACAGAAGTTATATACAGTGATTAATGCCATTACTTGCTACATCTTGAGTAATTATGTGCATAAACACTGAATTTCCAACGAAGTGCAATGTTTACCTAACATGCTCATAGCTATGACACAATTGTCGATATTAAGTATCGGATTAATTTAGGCCTAGAAATTATATTGAAAGAAACCCTCTCAAACTAGCTAAGATTGAGGCATTCCTAAATCAAATGTTACCTGGTATAATCTTGCTCAAGCAAATGTTTTAGCTTAAATTATCACAGCTACTTCTCCACGTGAGAAATGCAATCATGTTTTTTTTTCTTTCAAGCTAGTCACCAGGTGGCACTAAAGGAGCACAGTAGAAAGCATGAACACAAAATTCATACTAATGTCTCTGCTAATC